ACTGTTGCTCTGTTTCACTGGGAATTTATTTCATGTTTGCAGAAAGGCTGCATTTTTTTTTTGAAAATATCTGTTTGTTGAGCATTATTAATACCATGGTTATATATTTCCCCCAGGGGGCATTCAATATATCAGGAAGACATGCTGGAGACTGTAGTCTGGTTTTTGACCTGTGTAACATTGTTTAAGCAAAGAGATGGCAGCAACGGATGACTTGATTACTTGTAAACTTTAGGAAACCTGCTGAAGTCACTTTTAAATATTCTTGCTGAAAAAAACCCCAAAATTGATGAAAGGGGCATCAATTTTTAATGGAAACTGATACAGCATATTGGCAAGTGGAACTGAACTCAAAGGATTGGACAAATAAATTTTTGCCACAAGACTTGGTCTCTGGCCATTTAAAGCAATGTTCTTACATGATTAAAAATACAAAAGGCCTCTGATGGGTTGCTGTGCTGAAACTGAATAACTTAAGATTAATTTTTTTTAATCCTAAACCAGGAAATTTAATTTATTAAGCATAGGATCAGAATATTTTCCAACAAAGGTGACAAAACCAGACCAGTTTCCATGTTGTTGCAGACACCTGAAGGCTCTGATGCTGGTACAGGGAAGTTTCTATCAAAAAATAATGCTTACACAGGGAATTAGATATCTTGTACAAAATTATTCATCATTGTTTGGTGTCTAAAGGAGTGCAAGCATTCTTGCAACAATATCTTCAGCTTGATGAGGTGAGTATCACAAATCGCTTTTCTGTTCATTTGTCATAACCCAGCCAGCATGGTCCTGCATTACCAGTCCAGGTCACACATAATTACTTCCTGTAGATTATCTAAACTACATAAAAACATCTAAATATCCTAACTATCCAAGAAACAGTCATGCTTCTATTGACTGTTTATAATTAACTATCTATGGCCTGTTTGACCGGCTATGTAGCAGGAATTGCCTGGGAATCTTTGTGAGACTACAACCAAGATGTTTATCCATACTTTAAAGCATAAAACTTGGAGTAATGCAGCTGAACCTACTGGGTAATTTGTCCAACATTTCTACCTGGAGGGCTCCTGTATCTGCCAGTCAAACATTTCTGAAGGTGGTGCAGAGTTCAATCAGTCACCTATTTGTAGGCTGATCTATTGTCCAAGACCAGGCCCTTATCTCATCTAGGCAGATAACCAGCTGGGGAGTTTCTGGACCACCCAAGGAGTTACTGGCTTGGATGCACTGGATATTCACACAGATACAATCCTGATGCTCAGCCAGACCGGGGTTGCAACTAAAGAAAAACCTTGAATTTCATGTTTATAAATCACTGGCAAGTTGAGTTCCATACCTTTTGACATTTGTGTGAAGTGGGAAAAGAATGCTGTGACGGCTGAACTAAATGTAGTTTTATGGCTATGCTTGTGAGGAAACTATGGAGTAAAAGAAATAACAGCAAGTATCAGAATATTTATAATGGGGGATGGGGTCCTTGCAACCCTAAAATAAATCAAAAAGTGCTGACAGGTTTAAAGGCATGGGCTTGACTATGGAGTAATTCAGAGGGAGCCAACAGGAGCCTGGGGACTTAGAGGAGCTGGTGACTCTGGTGGGTTATGTTTAAGACCTAGTAATTACCAGGTTTAAGTGAAGTGAGAAACAGAGAACAGACTACCTTGCATCAGCAGCAAAACTTGTGATCTCAAGCTGTCTGACTCAAAGCCAGGGGAAAACTCCCATGGACTCAGTGACTTTTTAGGCGTTTTTGTTTTGTTATATAAACAATGAGAGCCTGGTGCTGAGTCCTCACACACTGCACTACTGAAAATACTTTGTCAAGTCCAGCAGTCTGCTTCCATTCCAGTTAAAGGAAACTACCCTAATGTTCTTCCTCTCTTTGTTTCTTCCCATAAAACTTCTTCTGCCTTTAGTTGAAATGATAAGGGGAAGCATCTAAATTTGTTAGTGTGGTCTAGAAGAAACAGCAAGTGAGAAAAGATGGATTGGTATCCTGGCCACCCATACAAATGGGAAATGGCTCTCAGTAGTTCACAACTGGGCCCAAAGATATTGAAACAAAACATAGCCATTTTAGAAACTTCTCATGAGTACATGACAACACCTTTAAAATGATACAGAACTTCAAGAGACTAAATATGCTGGCCATCATAGGTAGGCTTCTGTCTGGCTTCCCTGTGCTCCAAACTCAGCAGCTTGACAAATGTAAGTAATATTCATATGGGGTAGGGAGTTGTCTGAGTCACAGGCATGTGGATGAACCATGTGCTTTTTGTTTCCAGCTAACTTGATTTCTGCTATCCAGTTGGCCCATTTTCATTAACAAATGTTGAATCCTGAATTCTCTGCCACAGAGGACCGAATATCTACATATGTTCCAGCTTCTCATGGACAGTGAGAGAAAAAACAAATGCAGTGAAAAATCATATCCAGCAGACATTATTCAATAGTCCTTCTGGCTTCCAGATTCATACGTTATGCTTTCCCTACATCAGAAGCTGAACCGCTTTCAGCATTCTTCGGCAGAATGTTTGTACAACCAAGGGTAACATTTTTGGCCCATTATATTACTTTAACAATGGCAATATGCAGAAAAAAACAATGCTGTACTTTGCATTTGTCTAGATCAGGAGTTCAAACTGGAGTCATAGTCTATTGACACGGAAGCAGCCATTACAGACTTAGAGAGACTCCCTTACCATGTGAGGTTTAGAAGTTCTATTTCTGGCACTTAGCTGTGATGTAATATACCTTGGAGTTCTCATCTAGCACAAGAGGTGCTTGCTTGAAGGTTTGTGTCAAATATTGTGTACAATTGGACCCCAAGCATTTATGTCATCATAGCACTGAATGTCCCTGGTCCTTGTGCTGACTCTGTTTAAGGGGAATCAATTTCAGAAAGAATGAAAACATAAACAAAAAGTAGATGACAACTGGAGGAGTATCCTGCCTGTTATAAAAAAGCACTTCCATTAATTTGTTTTTAACTTGCGAAAAAGCAGCATTTTCAAACCGAGAACCAAAACAACTTCTCTTAATTTCATCTTAATACTCACTCCATAGATTTGCTATTTCTGCAGGTAACTTATATGTGATTGAAACACTAAAAGAACTCTCTCAGGAATTCTTACCAGACATATGAACTCAGTGATTATGTTTAATACTTTCCTTTAGAAAATCCCACTTCTTTCTTAACAGGCCTGTTAAGGCCTGTTCCACCTTTTGAGTATATTCAGTGCTCCAGAAGGCCTTAATTTGCATGGGTGAAGTGGAGTTGGAGAAATTTTATTAACTCATTTTGAAAGAACTCTCAGGAATACTTACAAACTTTGAAGGGGTCTTCTGTTAATTTTTGGCTTTCTCTTTTCGCTCATTAAGTTTCCTTCTTAGTTTCCAATAATTGAAACGTATTTTGGATAATTTAAATATTAATATTTACTTATTTTTAAACAATGAAGTCAGGAAGCTCAAATAAATGTATACAATACTTTATACATGAAAAACTTTAAAGCAAGACTGACAACCTTAATGATTTTCCATATAAGATCCCATGCAACAAAATGAAGATTGTTCTGAAGACAGGTTGTTTATATACACATAGACAAAGAGAGCAAATAAACTATTTCTTATCCTTTATATGAATATTCAGGGAATAAAACATCTGATACTTGGGTCCAATCCATGCTCATTGACTTTTTGTGGTGTTCAGTAGCTATATTGTATTTATGTGTTCTTTGTGCTGTCTCAATCTTAGAGATTTAATGCTTATATGAAACTGGATCCTAACCAAAACTTCCTACAGAAAGATCCCTTGCCCTATCGACTGCCTCTTTTGCTAGTGGAAATAGAGGTTACATGTATACTATTTTAGCTGTCTGTATTTTATCCAGGTCTGTTTCATGTGCTGTTCTTACACCATGAATACTTCTCCTGATATTGAGAATAAACTGTATTTTACTGAGCTAAGGCACTAAATAAGGGCACCCTAACATTAAGGTTCACTTTCTAAAATAATACTTGTGACCCTTATTCTGCTTCACATCCCAACAAAGAGGTTAGCAGAGTACAAAGTGAAGAGGTGAGGTTTACTTTGAACTGTTGAGGTGACCGAGGGTTACAACAGCTCATTGTAGTAGTAGGTGTCAGGATCTGTTTGAAGAGGGATTATTGCTGAAAGCCTTGTGAGGTGCCTCATTTCTTTGTGCTGCATTCATCATCTTCCCCAGCCTGCAACTAGATCTAGATGAGTAATGGAAGTGGGAAAAGGAGGGATGAACAAATAAAATCAGTAAATATTTCCTAAGACAAAGAACAGAGGTTTTCTTCTTTAGCCTTGGGGCTAAAGCAATATAATCTACAAAAAAACCCCAGAAAATCTGTGAAGTGGCTCTTTAGCTATAGCTGCCAGAAGCAGTGAGCTGCTGTGGATGCAAAGCAGCTTCTTGAATGCTGCCAGCACCCATCTGAGGGTAAGCAGAAATGCTACTTGGAAGTTAAAAGGTATGTTGTTCTCTTTAGCTTGAAATTCCCCTTATTTTTTTTCCAGTGTTTTTACCATGTGTTTCAGGGTGATGAGAAGCAAACTTTTTCAGTCTGTGATGCGTCCTAAATCCTACTGGCTCAGGGTTGTGTATGTGAATAGTAGCAAGACATGAATCACAGCAGCTGTCCTGCACCAGTCATTGATACAAGGAGATAGGAGGGTGCTAAGATAGACAAGAACAGGGAACCATTGCTTATGCATCCAGCATGAGATCTTCTAGATCAACAAAGATTGAAATTCAAATGCTGGATGGGTAACTCAATAATTACATATTTTATACGTATAAAGTGTTTTTAAAGATGTAGTGAAAATTCTGGAGATTTTGTGACAATATGACATATTTAACTGCTCGGTAAAAATCAGAATCAGGGAGAAAAGAAGTGTTGTGTGGAAAAACAGGGGCAAAAGCTGAAAACCTGGTATGTGCTCTGTGGACTCTGACCTGCTGAGGTAAAGTGCCGGGATAAAGGAGAATGCCTCTTCTCTGAGGTGCTGCATGGACTCCTGTCATCACAGGTTCAGGTTGTTCTTGTTGCTCTTTTCTCCATGACTCACAATAGTGTGTGACTCAGTGCCCTGAGGACAACGTGGGAAGCCAGGATAGTTCAATTAACAGTTAAGAGTGAAGTCTGCTAATTTCACCAAGATCCCAGGATACACTGGAGATGACTTTTAGAGGTATCCAAATAAAACCTAAGGATGTGAATTTAGGAAATGGGTTGTGTTTTGTATCTGAATTTGTAGATCATAATTCTCTGAAATGAGAGAAGCTTGGTGCCTTGGGTTTTAACAAAGCAATCTATAAAAAATGCCAATTCTTGATTCTCATAGTTAAAAATCACTCTCTATCTAAAATACAGGACTGTGAAATTTATATACATGGATTCATTTTGTATCTCCACTTAAAAGATTTTTCAAATGAATCTTAATTTTTTGAATTTCTTTGCATCAGCCTGCCTGCCTGCCTGCTATTTCAGTCTTTTTTTCACACTCTGGAACAGAATGGAGTACACTGCCTTCTGTATTCATGTATGTTGGCTGAGAAGTGTCAATGTCATTTTTCTTACTCCATTGAGACAGGATGAGTTGAACCAGAACTTCCTCAGAATTTGCTTATATCATCGTTCATGTAGGATGGCTGATAATAGAAGTTCCTTTCCAGAAGGGCCAAGCAGAAAAACAAACCTCATTGCAATTATGCAATGCTCACATGGGAGAACCAAAGTCCCTCTGTTTGTGTTGCTTTTCAAAGCAAGGAATGATCCGTCCACAAAGGGGAGATAGAAATCTCTAAAATTTGCATTATTAATGCAAATATAATTTAAATTCAAAAAAAATAACTTTAAACCTAAGGTTTCTCAGTATAAATGAGATATTTTTCAGAGAAATGCACATGGTTTTAGAGAAAACTATATTTCTGTCAAAATAAAAAAAAGTCCTCCTTAATAAAAAATTCCCACACCTAATGATTGTTTCTTTTTATTTCACCATCCTCCTAACTGAGAATAAAGCATTAAAAAAGCACAACATGAAACCCTTTTTCATAGGTAGCAGTAGGCATGGAAAAGGTAGACAGTTGGCTGCTGACAGCAAATCATTATGAAAACAAAAAATCCAGTTATTCTGTTCACCCTATAGGGCTTGGGAAGCTTTGGTGCATACTGCAGCTGCTGAAGGACTGGAAGGTGTCCATGGAAATAGACAAATAATTTCATTATCAACTGTGTCTCTTCTGCTTCTCACAGGATGCCTTTGAGTTAGAGCCACAAGAACTAGCCTATCCTTTTGGGGTGAAATTCCCCTTTTTTCTCAGTTCTGAGGTCCACAGGGATTCTGAGGTGCTTAAATTTCCTTTGTGTCTTCACTCAGATCCCTCCCAGACACAACATAATGCTCAGGAGGATGGTGTCGAGTATGTCTGAGTATTTTCTCCCCATACAGCATGGTTGAAAGCTGAGGAACCATTTTGTGCTGAATTCGTGCTCCAGGGAAAATTCTGCATGATAGTGAAGCCTGCGCAGCTACAACATGAAATACTCCTTACGCCTGGAAGCAGATAGTAACCACGTAGTTTATAAAGTTCCCATTGTTGTAGAGACAGAAACACACAGCTGCAGTCCTTTCCTGTGAGACCTCTCCAAAAGGAAGGAAAAGGCTGTTCATTTCACCATGATGGGTACACAGAGTTAAATTCCCATTGGTTCCAATAGCTGCAGTATCTGATGTCTTTCCCACAGAGTCAGAAAATGCTCATCTAAGCAAAATTGCGACCCACCACTTGTTAAGAACATCTGTGAAATTAAGATAGCAAGTAAAAATTCTGGAAGGAGGCTAAGATGCAAGACCAACAAAATGGTTTGCAAGAGGATTGAAAGAAGATACTACAAGTAATTTTCCCCTTCTCTATAGTGGAGCTATTGCTTGAATAGAGTCAATTTAATCATTAAACCTGGCTTTCACCCTTACAAGCACTTCAGAATATTTCTAAAAGACTGTTCTCTGAAAACACTGAGGTATAAATATGACATCCAGAGAAGATGTGCAACAGTAATTTTAATGTGTACATATTTCTTTGTGGTGTGAAAAATGGGGAAACTGTATCACTGCTGGATGTTATTTACCTGCTTGTAGCTTTGTCTACACACAGGTGACACAGACAGCCTGATCCTGTCTGCTGTTGAAGTCTCAGTCACCCACTGAAGTCAACAGGAGTTAAAGGTAATGTCGAGGTCTGTCAGAGCAAAATAATAAAAATTACATATTAAAATGTATATGTTGCTATATTTTATATCTATTATATATAGCAAAACATTAAAGGTTAAATGTGTTTATTTCCCTGGAAAGCCAATGGTAATTAAGGTGCTGGATAGTTCCTAGAGGTTTGTCTGCTAAGATTTGTGTTGGGCTTTCTGCCCCTTCACCTCCACAGATCTTAGAAGAGCAGAAGTTCAGTATTTCCTGGAGTAAGAATGTTTTATTACTCCATATTAATATATGTCTTTAAAGATGGTGGGAAAGCTGAAAGTAATTTCAGCTGTATCAAATTTGAGTAATATCTCAGTGCTATGTAGACTATAGGGGAGTTGAACTTAAGTCTGCTGGAGAGGACAGGCTCCAGCTGAGTTAAATGGGCTTTGGGTCAGATCCAGAAAGACAGTAGGGAATTGCAATCAGACAGCTTAAACTTATCATAAGTTTGTCTTGGAAATTCTGCTTGCAAAAGGCTGTCTCATCTGGACACAGAAAGACTCCTGAACTGCTGTCTAGTAATAGATGCTCTCATTTTTATAAATGTGAGCAGCTTTTACACTCAGTGTGATCTAGGACATGCACTAATGTTAATGTATGGAATTTGATTAATTATAGCAGCATCTTCACTGGTGTAACATTCACTTAAAAAACTCTAAATGGTACTTTGACTCACACAGTGAATTTGGGCTGGTGAGAGTTTTAATTAAATGATAATTTAACAGACTTCATTTCATGCATGTTTACCAAAAACTTGAACACAGAAGGAGCTCTGAGAATGAGGATTGCTAATCACCGTAGAATATTTTCAGTCTATCTCTAGTGATGCTATTGGATTCATCAAACAAGTTTTGAGAACACTGTATGGCTTTCCTCATGCTGTGGAAGTGTGAAAAATGTCTTGTGCTTTTAAAATGTATTATTCTAGGTGTATAGCTAATTTTAATCTCATGTTTAACTTAAACATTGTAATACATTGCAGAACAAATGTAAAGACTATTCCCAGTATTTTTTGTAATTTTACTCAGTGTTTTTCTGAAGGTGAAAGTTATGCTAAAAGTGAATTCTTTCTCTCAGTTCTAATCAGACTTTTTGAAGACATTAACTACAGTAGAATCAAAAATATGAAAAAAAAATCAGTTTACTTACTAAAGGAATAAAGTTTTGGCATAATAATAAGTTTAAAAAAACAATCTTGTCTCAATTAAATTTTGAGTGTATGTAAGTAAAAGGGAAGGAAGTAAGAAAAGGCAACATGCATTAGAGAAGTTTTATCATAGTTCAGGATACAAATTTTTCCCTATTTAATTTCAACAAAAAAACAAAAGATGTTCTGTCTGGTTTCAATACTTATTGTGACTCATAAAATAACCTAATATTAGGTAACTTTTTCCGTAGGCTGTGTAATATGAAAATAAGAATGGGAAAAGAGTAGGATGGAATAAAGACAGTAACACCAAGTCCAGGTTTAACAGGGTAATGTTTAAGGACATTATAAGAATTCATCAACAATTTATTTTGCCCCAGAATATCTTACATTTATGTAAGTTTATTAACCATAAAGGTATTTTATACTATTTCACATCACATAGAAGATTTTAAAATAGTATTCCAGGAGTCTATATCTATACCACAAGATATTGCACACAGATGGAAGGGTGCTGCAAATATTTCTTGACAGGTGTGTAAGACATGTGGCTGGAGAGACAGGAGCTGTGTTGCTGATGAAGCAACTGACCTGCGATGATGAAGGGAAGTTCCCTGTGAAGGGAACTTTCAGCTCCTGCACCTTGCCAGTGTATTATCCATGGCAGCAGTGCAGGCTTTGGAGACAGGGCAAGTTTGACATGGTTGGCAGTAATTGTGAAGGCTGGGTGTCTCAATTTTGGTGTCCCTTGCAGGACAGAATTTAGTCCACAGATGTAGTACAGGAGATTTAGTGTTTAACTGGTGGGATGCTTTCAGATGTAGGTCATGGATTACTGCTAAGTCTCACCTGTGACGCTTTTCACAATGAATCTATTTAAATCTTTTTGCTTATAGATTTTTTTTTATGCTGTGTTTGACTTTTTAATTTTTTTTGTGTCCAGTAAAACTTTTTCTGCAGTTAAAGCGTTCATATAACCTCCCTTCCCTTAGACTCTTTGTTATCCAGTAAAGGGTGAGTTCATGCTTCAGTCTTTACCTCACTAAGGGTGTTTATATTCTCCTTAAGGTATACCAGACTGTCTGTGCATACATTTTATACTTTTAAGGTCTTTATAAAATCTGGTTGGGCTGGACCAATGTATTCCAAAATTATTTGTAAGGTTCATTGATCTAGAAAGAGATTATGTAATCCTACTTTTTTTTTCCTAGGAAAACAGGTTGAAGAAGTTATTTTCTTAGCATTTCCAATGTGATGAAAGGGCAGGTAAGATTTTGAGAGACTTATAGCAAAGTTTGCATTTCTTTCTTCGTGTAGATTATAAGAATCACCCATAGATGCATGCAGGTTATCTTGTAGATGTTTATGACAGATGAAAAAAATTCAAAACTTTACCTAATGACCACACATTATGAGGATTTTTTGTTTTCTTCTTGTTTTTCTTTCCTCCAAAATGTGTGCATTTTGAACTCAACAAAAAAACCCCACTGTATCCAGAGGGAGAATTAGCTGCAAGTGAACAGTTTGGAACAGCAAGACCACTTTTACTTTGGATGCTTTTCCATTCACAGCATGAGAACACAAATATATGTGGGGACCATGAAACAAACTAACAGATTTTTAACTTCACCATTTGCTTTTATGTGCCTTGCTTTTGTTTAGATGGAGAAGACTGAAAAGCTGTTTTGTACTGTGGATTGTTTTCCCCATGGTAAGCTTTGGGAGACATTCTATGTACTTTTTTTGGGTGCTGCCGCTCATGATGATGCCTGCTGTGAAGTGTCATCATTCCTAAATCCAGCAGTGGCAGCTTTTCTTTCATTTTGGAGTACAGAAACTAATTTCTCTTCTGAAAGAGCTTTTATTAGTTCTTCTGTCTCACACAAGAACAAAATGATTTCTCAGATCTTTTTCATTTTCACCACCTATGATATTTTCAGCCTTGGGTCCTTATTAGGGATATAATTTTTCTCTCCTGACTGTGCAAGGCACTGTGGGGCCATCTTTCTAAAAGCTGCCTGAGTCCTACTAGAGAGGTAAACCTGCTAGTCCCTCAAGGAAGTCAGTAAGACAGAAAGGGAAACTATGCAAGAATTTGAACTGCAGACCTATTCACTGGATCCAAATGAAGGCCAGCTGATGAAAAGGGCTCATGCTCTTCTATAGTCCTAAGTATTTTGCCTTGTGACTTCCCCCTTCCCTCTGTCCAAAAAATACCATGTCAGATTGGCTGAGCTTGTGTCTTTACCACAGGGTGCATCAAAAGATTAATTGCAAGGTGTTTGCATGTGGGCCAGAGGTAAACCAAATTATGGAAAGTTTACAGTTATTTCAGGAATTGGAATGGCCAGTCTTAAGTATGTGCCATCACATTTCTGAATTGTGAAGAATTGTGCACCCATTTATCCACAGCTGAGATGAAAATCCTCGATCCAGGTGGCTGCAGTGTATGCACACCACAGTGAGCTTACAGTGACGATGGCCAGCGTATTTTGAAAAATTGCAGCAGCCCTTCTTCACATGATTAAGTAAGGTCTTCAATCCTTTTTCACCTCCCCAAGAGTCTTATGTAGGCTGACAGCACCATAGCTCCTTGTTTATTTAAAAAATATGCAGATCACAGTCAGTGTTAATTACAGGCTTTGCAAAACTTATGGAAAGCAGGGAGGAAAGGCCTTTAACTCTATTCTAGCATGTCTTTTTTTGTCTACTATATTTTGTCAATATAGTTGTGTTCTGCAGAATTTTCATGTCCAAACAAGCATGCTGAAGTATGGACTCTCTGCCACTTTTCGTTTGGAGTATTTCAGTACCTCAAATCTCCTTTCAAGGAAGTTGTTCCTGGTATTGCAGCGAACATAAATATTTATCGTAGTTTCATACCAGCACTTCTGATTCAATTGTTTATATTGGCAGTCTCAGAGATGCCTTTGTAATCAAGGAGCTAGTGATCTTGAGCAGGCTTTTTCTGCTTGCTGGTTTGGGCATTGCACTCGGAGCTGGGGCAGCCACTGCATGTGTCCTGGGCACTGGGACAGGGGAAACAGTCTGATCTGTCAGGGGAAGATACCTGATTCTGCTTATGATGCAACAAGAGCACTGTGGCATGGGAAGGAAGAGGGACCTCTCAGTGGAGGGAATCTGTGCAGCATGCAGTTGGAAAAACTTCCCTGGGGTCTGTCTGATGCTGCACAAATGAGGAGTTCCCAGCATGTGGAGGGATGGAAGGCTTTTCACTATCTACAGTACTATTGTTACTCATCATATGAAAACTACTATTTTATTAAGCCATTGGTTGTTGGGCCTTTCTTGTTGAGATCCAGAAAGGACCCTACAGTGTCTGTCCCTTCTCATTCCCCCACCACATGCAGAAGTCTCTTTTACCACACAGATATGTTTGCAGCCTCTCCATTATACTAAAAGTTTATCATGATGTTATAAAAAGAAAAAGGTGTAAAAACAGAAGACTTCTTTCTTTCTAGTATTTTAACCATTTTCTAATTTGCAGACTCTCAGAACTGGTTAGCTTTCCTAGAAACCCTTCTTTCCCTTTATGGGGAACAGATTTGGTAATTCAATGCAGTCTGATTTTTTGTTTTCTGTCTCTCTGTCTCATGTTCCAGCAGTGTCTGTTCTCCAAGTTTTCCTTTCATTAGTTGAATTATGTGGCTATAATATACCCAGCAAAAACTTCCTGAACTATTTGACCTTAATCCAGCAATGTGCTTGATGTTAAGCATGCAACTGATCCCAGCAAAATGAATGGAGCTATTAATGAATTTAATCATGTTTCCAGGTGAAAGCTGGTATGAATTATCCTGTTGCCATCATCCCAAGTGGCTTGATTGTGCAGGCAAAGCACAATACCAAGCCAGCCCTTCAGTATAAAATTTTATTCACAAAATATTCTAAGCATAAGCTAAAAGGGGTGCCAAAAAAACCCCCCAACTTTTAAAAACAAGATTAAAAAATGAAAGAATGACCCAGGAGGAGTGCTGGGACACATTTCTGATATCCATACAACCAAGAAACTTAAGGTATTAATGAAATTATCTGAAAAGGCAACTATATCCAATAACAGGGGTTTTAAAAATAAACTACAAAATGTTCCAGATAAAATATTCTATTTATCGAGCTACATAACACATTTAGCATGAAATATAATGTTTTAAGATGCACATAGCTAAAGGTGTAACACAAAACCATAGAATGGCTTGGGTTGGAAGGGGCATTAAAGATCACCAAGTTCCAAACACCCTGCCATGAGAGGGACAGCTTCTACTATACCAGGTGGCTCAGTGCCCCATTCAACCTGGCCTTGAACACTTTCAGGGATGAGGCATCCACAAATTCTCTGGGAAACCTGTTCTAGTGCCTCACCACCCTCACAGTTAAGAATTTCCTTCTAATATCTGATCCAAACCTCTGTCAGGTTAAAGCCATTCCATCCTGGTCCTGTCACTACATGGCCTTGGAAAAAGCCTCTGTCTAGTTTTTTTGTATGTTCAAGGTGTGCTGGGTGAAGAACTGGATGAAGGGCAGGCAGGGCTCAGAGGGCTGTAGTGGGTGGGCCTGCCTGGTAATAGGTCACTAGCAGCATTTTTTCAGGGGTCAATTCTAGGGTCAGTTTTGTTCAATATTTTTAAGCAACAATCTGGGTGCAGGAATTGAATACATCATTAATAAGTTTGCTGGTGATACCAAACTGGGAGGTGCTGTTGACTCTCTAGAGAGACAAGAGACTTTGCAGAGGGATTAAATAGTTGGGAGTGTTGGGAAATCATTAGTGGGATTAAATTTAACAAGAACAAATGCCAGATTCTGCACCTGGGATGGAGTGATGCCAGGAAAAAGTATAAAATGGAAGACAAATAGCTGGAGATCAGCCCAGCACACAGGGATCTGGAGGTGCTGGTGGATAGCAGGCTCAATATGAGTCAGTTGTGAATTTTATTGCATTTTATTACTAGTTATTATCTAGTGCAAGCTCCCATCTGGGGTCTTTACATGGAGAACTAAAGAATTTGAAAACCATAACACGTTAATTGGGTTAATGAAAACTGATCTTTTACAAATCTCTTCTACTGACCAAATCTTGAGTATATGATCAGCTTGTCACCACTACACAAAATTCCATATCGATTTTGTTGAGTAGTGTTTTTGTTAACGACTGTGACCAATGTCTCTGACTAAATCACTATTCAGTCAAACTGTCTAGAATGAAAAAGTTTTTAGTAGTAGTGAAGAACAAGTCCTTTGTCTCTTGTATCTAAAGATTTTGCAGGTCTTGTTAACAGCCAAAGAAAATTCGTGCTAATACAAACATTTTTATGCTATGAGGTAGTTTTGTTCTCCAGAATTTTTCTGACTGAGACTGATTCTAATAAAGTTGATTTTTGAGAAACAGTGTCAGGCAGCAGTAAAAATAAATAATGTACTGTTTGATTCAAATTCTATTTGGATGCAGACTGTTCCCAAATTCTTGTCATAAGTAACACCATCCAAAAGTACTGGTCCTTGCTTCTAGTCATATTCCAAGTGCTTTGGATGGTGTTGGAGTGAACAGTGGTGACTCATTTAACATAGAGTCATCAGCTGGACCTGCAATTTAGACTTCAGGAAAGCATTGCACAGATGCCAAAGCCACATATTTATTTGATTTATTTATGTTTGAGGAGAGAAGACTCCTTTGGAACCCCTGAGGAATTGTCTTCTCTGTTTTCTCCCCTGCATCCTTGCGGCCCTTGTGGTCCTTCTGCCCAAGAGGAATGGGACACGCCTTTGTGAGCTGCTAAACCCTTATTAGCCTGGAGCTGGGCTCTTACCATCCTCAGCTTATCATGAGAAATACAGAAATATGACCCAACAGATTTAAGCACCTTTGAGAAATCTCCACATAAAATAGAGAAAAATGCCTTCCACAAGTGGAAATGATCTTCCTTTTTCAGCTTGGGAACAGTATTTAGTGCATGAACATGTGGTGTGTTCCTTTCTGCAGGGTACTGCTGCCATCTTTATAATCCCTGTGAGGCTGATATATAAGTGTACACTTGGATGGAGGGGATGGTGATATTGGAGATCTGTATATTTTATGTATGCCTCCATATATAAGGCTGATGAAATAAGATTATCATGTTCCCAGTTTCTTCATAGTTTTGTTTATGAATGCTGGCACAATGCATTTGAAAAGCTGTTGTTTTGTGTCATATTCTGACATTCTGTCCATGAAGGGATGAGATTCCATATCCAGCATTACAAGCTACCTAGGCTCTCTAAATTTCCTTTCAAATTGCTGTGAATTACAACTTTGTATCTATGACAGCCACTTAGCACCCACAGAGACTTATCTGCTCTGGTCTGAAAATAATTTTCAGTAGAAATAATACTTCTGAGAAGACATGAGGTTTGTAAGGAGTGTGGATTCATTGCTAACTAAATATGTTTTAAGATCAGTTTAGAATGAGAAGGATACTGGTATAGGCTTTGATCTTGACGGCATGTGCCATCGAACAGGCATATTTTCCTCTTGCCCACTGAGAACCTGACTGAGATTGTCAGAATTCACACTTCTGATCATGAATACCGGAGCTGTAACCTTGGTAAGGCAGTGAACTATGTCCTCTGACTGAATTGTCCTCAGCATAGTGCAAAAGAATGCAAATAACCATTTTTCACTGAGGTAAGTGGCAGCAGACTTGCAGGCTCTTCAAAGTGTTAATTTTTGAATTGTTCTTTTTAATGCAGAGCCAAACACTTACATGATACACTGCAAAAGTTACAGATGGCCCTACATCATTTTGCAAGTGCAAAAAAAATACACAACACAATGCTTTACTCAAAAATTGCTTCTTAATTAAGACGTGCAGTCAGATTACTGTTTAGTTAAATTCCAGGTGTCCTAGTGAGCCGTGTCTATTAGACATATGTCTCATATCTAAATTGACTTGAATGCAGATGGAAATTTGGAAACATGGAATTTCTTAGAATACTGTTTTTCAGTTCAAATTATTATACTGATGTCATTCAGAGTATTAAAGTCTCTAAGGAATAGAAGTCTGGCATTTTCTAGCTGAGACAGTTCTAATCATACCTTCATCAATCATCTAAAATTTATTTCTAATGAGACTTTTGCAAATGAAATAAAAAATATTGCAACATACTTACAAAATTATTTAATAATTTAATGGAGGCCTTAAGAGCTTGAGCACAACAAAATGACTACGTGGACTGGAGAAAGACATAGACAACAGGAATGTGAAGAGGAAGCGTGCCCAGCAGGAAGGTTTGCAGACTCATTGTTGGGGTGTGATTTACTTTTCACATCATTTTGAGAGAGGCTAATCTGCAGCAATCTCTTCACCGGCTGCTGGTTGTAGCCGTGCCTGGAAATAACGACAACATTTATATTTCTACACGTAACAATACTTTACATGAATAGGTTTTTCAAGAAGCAATGAGAAGTTTCATATGCTGAAGAGCAAACTAGAACCATTTTATGACTTGTGTGTTGCAGTGTGTTTTTTGTTAATGGTATGTTCTGTTATTGCCCAAGTTGATGGTTTGTCCAAATGAGACCCTCCCACCCCACACTGTCAATCTACCCTGAGTCTCCTGTCAATCTGTCTTAGGCCCACCACAGGCTTGGAATTTCTCTTTGGAAATTATTTCAGCTGTTGCACACTTGCATTTTCTGTCTTTTGCTCCCAATATTCCCCAGAGCAATAAATCCTCTATTATCCCATGCAAAAGACCTCCCTCTTGTCCTTGTCTCCTCAGAGCACAGACTGACAGCCAAAAAGCCATAGAGTGCTCTAGTCACACCTCAGGTCATCCTGCTCCTGGGGTGTGACCCACTCCTGGCGCAGGCCGAAGTTGATAGAGTCAGATAAGCTCTGGCGAGATGGGTTACTCATGGCTGTCAAGGAAATGATTTTCTTTTCATTTGCCCTCTTACAAACATTTATATACTATATTTCCTCATAGCTTCTCTTCTGCTTTCCTTATTATAGCTGCTGTG